TTTCTGCTCACCACTCGGCCCTTGTACCTCCTGAGGGGAAACTGCTGCTACCACACAGGTGCTCCCATCTGCACCAAGGCTAGCAGCCCCTCGATCAGGAACTGCAGAAATAGTCTCCGTCTTAGAGTTGCAGGCAGAGACCCCCTTTAACATAGACAGTATACTCTTGGTCAAGCCTTCCCAATCCACTCGTTCCGTGCTCCCCTCAAAGGCACCCATGAAAAGGCAGTTCTCTCCTGGTACCAGTAATGTCTTCCTGGAGCCACTCAGCCCCTCTGGCTGAGAACCCTGGGTGACTTTGAGGCCACCTAACACCGTGGTATTGCCTCACAATGCCACAATATATATATTCTTTAAAGTGGACCTAAACTCATAAAATAACATCTAGAAACAGTTATTGGGTCTTAGCAGTACCGTGAAAGATTTTAGAAATTCTCTTGAAAATAGCAATACACTTCATAGCTGTATATCTGCAATGTGAGATCTCAGGCACTGCTGCCTCTGACTGCTAATCCAAGGAAATTTGTAATGAAAGTTGGTGATACCACTACCGTGCTGCTCACTATTATCCTTGCTGGAGGTTTTAACAAGAGGAAGCAAAGCCCTGACTCTACCAAGATGAGCACCTCCACATAGAGACACAGTGCAGAATAAGGCATGCTAAGACCAAAGTGGGGAAAGATCAGCTGCTGGGAGACCACAAGCAATACTGGTGATTAGTTTTGCCCTCTGTCTGTCTTTTTTTGCATAGCTTCCAGAGTTCAGTTCCTCTATATGTAAATTGCTTACTTTTATGCTTATGAAAGATTGTGACTATGCACAAACCTGTTGTTTCAGCTTTTGAAAGATAATGGAAAAATATACCAGCTGACCATTTCTTTTATGTCTCAGATACCCCAATTGGTGAGTTCCTGGGTCTGCTCATCATTGCAGGGGGCTCCTACTCTCCCTCTTGGATTATTTATTTTGTATTACTCAGAATGCAACAGCAGGATCAGAACACACAAAGGTGCGCGGGAACACCCAAGATTCAGATCAAAGTGGACAGGAACAGTCGGGAATTATGGCAGAGATATATGCGAATGCACGGTTGGTGAAGACAATGCAACTGCACAAGGGACCTCTCGGACCTAGGGGCCCATTTACACAAGAAGTGGGTTGGGCAGTTGCTGGTTTCCCCTTCTGATGCTACATAGACCTTCTCACTTGGGCAGATGAGGAGCAAGAGCCATTCTTGATACCATACCCTAATCATTCCTCCTAAATGAGTAGGTGAACCCATGAAATGTTCTCCACTGGGGTCCCTTGATGACTGTGACTCGCTATAAGACATATAAGAGGGCAGGAGCTGGCTCAACCCTATAGGTGAAGTTATCTATTAAGTAACTCCCCAACTCCCTGAGTGCAGTCAGCCAGTTACTTGCTCCGTCGTTCCAGTGATCTTCACTGTGCGCCCCTGCAGATTACCCCTCACTCTGGCCAGAACCGGAAAAACTAATTAATCAGTTCTGTTTTGATGGACCTGACCGTGCCGGATTGGGGGTGATCTGATGCAACACACATGTCCGCTTACATCCGACATCCCATAAACCAACATGGGTCACTTAATTCCATCTTGCGATGGAAGAAAAAACTGGATGGACACGAATTCCACAATGGTGACATTCGTTCTGATCAGCAGGGGATCTGTGCCTGGATCCCCTGCGGGTCGGAACTGAAGGCGCCTGTCTGAAAGGGGCCTTAAGGCAACAGTTCAAAAAGTGTGCCTGAGCTGTGGGAGGGGCCCACTATAGGCTGCATGCAGAAAACTACAGGAGGGGGCGGAGACAAGACCAGTTACCCTACACATGGAGAGAGAGCAGCAGTGACTGGCCTTTATTACAGGAAGCTCCACGTTTCACACCTGATTACTGCACAGATCTGGAAGAAATACACAAAGCTCCCCAAGATTCAAAGAATAGTCATAGCTCTTGTATTTAGAGAATATTTGCTTATCCCGGAGTTCAACCTTAAGGCTATTAATAATACAAAAAAAAAAGAAGCAAAGCAGGGTGTTCTGAGATCTCATCACTTGATGGGGGAATGAAATATTATACATGCACTGTATTGTATCTACTTGACACTTTTTCCTACTTTAGACCCATTGGGCCCCTTTGCTAATGAATATAGAAAATATAGAAAATTCAGAACATTTGAAACCAATTCAGAATTTCATCTGCACATAAGCACTTTCTCTGCCTATGTAGTGTGGTCGTTAACCTTTTCTGTGGCCTCTTACAGTAGGGGGTACATTATTCCCATTATATATAATCTGATGTGCACTGTGTCATTATAATCATCTAGCTGTCATGTCCGTTCACAAATCACTGCCTGAGTATTGTTACCTCATAAGCCAAAGTTCTGCATGCAGTCACTTGGAATGAGAGTTTTACACAGTTAAAGCTGAACTCCACCCACAAAAGAAATCATTGAAATATATTCCTCTACAGTATATCCAAAAAAGATATAAATCATTGAGCCCCCATTCACTCTTGCGAAGTGTGCTGCCTATAGGGCAGCCCATTTATTTCAATGCAGAGATTGGAGAAAAAAGGAGCATGCCAGACCAAATCAGATTCCATAAAAATGTAATGATTATGTTGATCACACAGCCAACGAGAGCCAGACACGTCCGCCTTCCTCATGGCTTAAAATGATGGAAATGAAGTATTGAACGCGAATATTGGGAAATATGGGTTATTTCCCAAACTGATAGAATGCAGGCGGCAGATCCTGAGTCTCACATTTATTTTAAAGGACTGCCCTATGTGAGGCAAAGATGCTCATGCACACTTTTGAGCTTTGTGCTTCACAGGTCGGCTAGAACTATGAGGTGAGTGAAAAGCACTCACCTCATAGTTCTCCTTTTAATTTCTTCCCTCATTTTAAGTTAAACTTGTCCTTTAATTAAAAGTTTTGTGCCTGAAGTTCACCTTTATTCCTGGAAAGCAAGAAAGAAAAAAAAAAAAAAAACAACAAAATAAAACTCAGTAACTACCTATGAGACCTTAGCTGTCGTTTTTTCAATTATTATCTGTAACTAAATATCAAAGGTATGAACTTTGTTTCCCTCTTTTTTATCTTTTATATGCAAAATTATTTTAGTTTTCCAAGAAATATAAAACAGTTGTGATAATTTATTATGCGAGTTATAGTTTGTGTTTACATAGTGTCATCCCTGCTGGCTACGGACTGTATGATTACTGGACATGTTATTGTTCCATACAGCGCAATGCTAAAAACTAATATCCACCAAAAGATATATCTAACAGCTGCCTGAGCACTTGAGTCTTTATTACTTGTGAAATATGGTATTCCATAATTGTAATAGGGAGCAGAGAGGAACAGAATCCTCTAAGTGAGGTCCCATGGGTGACCTTTTTATGAGGCTCTGTAACCTTTCTCCCTTTTATCTAGTAATATTTATATCTATGCAGTTTACTGTCCTGCTGACTTATCCTCTGGCTTTCATTAAACATTCCAACGTGCACTCCTGTCCTCTCCACTTTTTTTTTACAAGATTGTTGGCCATTTTGATAATTTACCTTCCATGAAATTAGATCTAAAATAATGCAGACGGTATGCAGATGAAAGTTCACTGACCCACCCTTCATTGTGATTTTATTGGATGCGGGCTTCTAATGATAAAACACAAATCAAACTTCAAGCAGATTTTTTATAAAGGGTCAGGAAAAAGTATAAAAGACAGGTGGGCTTAAAGTGGACCTTCAGTAACTTTACAAGTCTGCAATAAGGAGGAACACCACCCTTATCTTACAGAACTTAAGTGCTTGCTTAAGGGTTAAGGAACTCAAATATACAGATATACTCACCTGACCCTTGGTGCCGCTCACCAATCTCCCCTGATCCTTGGTCCCGCTCACCTCTATTCCCTGATCCTTGATGCCGCTCACCTCTCTCCCCGATCCTTGGTCCGCTCACCTGGTTGAATAAAGACATAGAAGCAAGAAAGTCTCTCGCCTGATCCTCAGTCCCCCTCACCTCTCTCCCCTGATCCTTGATGCTGCTCACCTTTCTCCCCTGATCCTTAGTCCCCCTCACCTCTCTCGCCTGATCCTCAGTCCCCCTCACCTCTCTCCCCTGATCCTTGATGCTGCTCACCTCTCTCCCCTGAACCACAGTCCCGCTCACCTCTCTCCCCTGATCCTTGGTCCCCCTCACCTCTCTCCCCTGATCCTTGGTCCCCCTCACCTCTCTCCCCTGGTCCTTGCTCCCCCTCACCTCTCTCCCCTAATCCTTGGTCTTGCTCACCTCTCTCCCCTTAACCACAGTCCCGCTCACCTTTCTCCCCTGAACCACAGTCCCTCTCACCTTTCTCACCTGATCCTCGGTCCCGCTCACCTCTCTCCTCTGATTCTTTGTCCCGATCACCTCTCTCCCCTGATCCACGGTGCCGCTCACCTCTCTCCCCTGATCCACGGTGCCGCTCACCTCTCTCCCCCGATCCTTGATGCTGCTCACCTCTCTCCCCTGATCCTTGATGCTGCTCACCTCTCTCCCCTGGTCCTTGATGCTGCTCACCTCTCTCCCCTGATCCTCGGTCCCCCTCACCTCTCTCCCCTGAATCACAGTCCCGCTCACCTCTCTCTCCTGATCCTTGGTCCCTCTCACCTCTCTCCCCTGATCCTTGGTCCCCCTCACCTCTCTACCTACCCTGATCCTCAGTCCCCCTCACCTCTCTCCCCTGATCCTCGGTCCCCCTCACCTCTCTCCCCTGATCCTTGGTCCCGCTCACCTCTCTCCCCTGATCCTCTGTCCACCTCTCTCCCCTGATTCTTGGTGCCGCTCACCTCTCTCCCCTGATCCTTGGCCACGCTCAACTCTCTCCCCTGATCCTTGGTGCCGTTCACCTCTCTCCCCTGATCCTTGGTGCCGCTCACCTCTCTCCCCTGATCCTTGGTCACGCTCAACTCTCTCCCCTGATCCTTGTTCCCACTCACCTCTCTCCCCTGATCCTTGGTGCCACTCAGCTTTCCGCCAATCCTTAATGCCGGTCACGTCTCTCCCCCGATCCTTGTTCCTGCTCACTGTTTAGTAATGGCAATTTACAAACAGATACTTATAGATAATTGCAGGTTTTTTATTCTTTGCATACCTAGTTTTACTTTTACTTTGCATTCTTCTCACTGTGGCCAAGGGCAGTGTGGTGGTAGTCCCACTGCAAAGGTTAATATTTCCATTTCCTTGAGTTCTTCTTTAAGTAATGAATGTGGGATTATTTCATATCATCATGCAGAGCTGAATGCTGATGCGATTTTTAGTGAAAGGGGGTAAAGGTACACTTTAATAAATTCCAGACATGTCACAATGAACAGCAGCAGTATATTTTTTTCCCAAAAAGTCTACACTTTATAATTAGAGTGACCTTGTCATAATTATGAAAAATTGCCAAAATGAATACCTTGCAATATAAGAATGTAGATGCTTTACTTTTCCACTGCCTCTGGAGGGGGACAAAGGGAAATAAACACTTCCAGGAGTGCTTTTCAGAAGATTTCTGGGTATCATTCCTCTTGAATGGAGTGGTCAGCGGCATCAGCAGTGAGAAAGTGAAGTATTTACATTCTACTGCAGAGTATTAATTTTAGCAACTTTGATTTTTATGACACAGCTGCTTTAAAAAGCAGATTTTGAAATTTAGTCACATTACTTCACACGGGGCGCTGTGGCATCCCTGTGGCAAGAACCCACAGATTCCTGTGGAAGGAATCCTAGGTGCCCCATTCAGATGGGGCCGCGGTACCCATTGAAGTAAATGACAGGGTGACAGCAGCCACATCTGTCAGTGGCAGTCTGCATGTAATCATACATTGTACAACTACACACAGTTTGGGATAGAAGATTGGTGCTGAAAACATTTATCCTTCGTCCAGCGACAATCATCTATACCATGTATGATTACACGCAGACTGCCACTGACAGATGTGGCTGCTGTCACCCTGCTATTTACTTCAATGGGTACAGCAGCCCCATCTGAACAGGGCACCTTGGACTCCTGGTGCAAGAATCCGTAGGTTCTTGCCACTGGAATCCCAGAACACCCGGAATAGTACCTTAAAGTTGAACTATACCCTTGCCTTTTTTATCGGAAACTCAGCATATTCATTAATGTAGCTCAGGACAATCCTCAGTTTGATTCAGCAAAGCTTACTTTGTTTCTCTTGCTTCCACATTATCTGGCTTTCTGTGTGCGGCTTCCCCAAACTTCCGGTTGGAGAGCATGCGCTCACAACCTAATGATCAGTCCTTTGATTTCATTTATCAGGACTACATTATTATTATTATTATCATTATACAGGATTTGTGCAGTGCTTTACGAAATGGGGGAGACAGTACAGTTACAATACAATTTCAGTACAGGAGGTTGGATGGCCCTGCTCGTGAGAGCTTACAATCTAGTAGGAGGGGCAAGTGATAGAAAAGGTAATAATTGTTTAGATTGAGTTATTAGAACACGTAAATGGGCAGTTATGTTGAGGTGGGATGAGATTACTTTTTAAGGATCGCCTAAAGGTGGACAGCATAAGAGATAAGCGGACATATTGGGGTGGGGGGTTCCAGAGGATGGGAGACACTCTGGAGAAGTCCTGGTGGTGAGCATGGAAGGAGGTGATGAGAGAGCCAGAGAGCAGGATCTTGAGAACAGCGGAGAGGGCGGTTAGGGTGATATTTTGAGACGAGGTTGGAGATGTAGTCAGGGGCTGAGTTGTGGATGGCTTTGTATGTTGTTAGTATTTTACATTTTATTTGTTGGGCAATTGGGAGCCAGTGGAGGGATAGGCAGAGAGGGGTGGCAGACACTGAAGACCCGCCCCGAGGACAGTGGCAGGTGGTGAGTTTGACTGGGGCGGTACACCTGTCAAACGGTAACGCAGGTGTCCTAAGGCTAGCTCAGGGAGGACAGAAACCTCCCGTGGAGCAGAAGGGCAAAAGCTCGCTTGATCTTGATTTTTCTCATTTTCTGCGCCTTGTCCTCTCAGGATGTAATCTGGACATTGGAGAGCGTACAAATGGGTGGCACGAATGGTGCAGTGTGGGAGGCTACCACCACACTGCAAAGTTTAAGTGCTCATTTTGGTCAAGGAGCCAGAATAAAGAAGATATACTCACACAATCCTCGATTCCACAGTGCTGACCGCTCACCTCTCACCCTCCTCTCTGGTTGTGGAATGTCCCTCGGCATCCTCATATCTAATGGAAGTTAAAGAACCTGTATTAGACGTGAGGACATCATGGGTCCTTAGACAGCACTGGAGCCCAGGGGAGAAGAGGCTATGGGGATTGGTCTAGTATCCTAGATTAAATGAGCACTTTACCCTTGCAGTGCAGGGGTAGCTCCACTGCAAGGGTTAATGTTTAAAATACCCAGAGTTCTCCTTTATTAATAAGCAAAAGGATTTTTGGCCCATATTTACAGGCAATATCCTTGCCATTTACATATCCCAACATAGAGGAAACAATGGAAAGACTGTCGGGACATTTTGCTATAGTAACAGTACGCTCCTCGCTGTTTGAACAATCCCAGCAGAATGTTTGGTATAAAAGAATTTCCAGGAATCGGATTCCTCAGCTGTGTTTTTCCAACAGAATATGTCAAAAGTCCATAAAACCGAAACAATATATCATCTATTCACCTGACTTGATTGGTTCTGCTTCTCGAGAACCAAAACAGTATTAGTAATGCATAACCCTTGAAGTGCACAAGGCATTACACTAGAAGTATGCAGCCCTCTATGTGGGCCAGCACATTCCTGTGACATACATTTCCCTGCTGATTGTAGCAACATAAGTCTGCACCCTAAATCATTACTTACTGTCAGGTCCCATGTGCATGACATGTAACTAGAAAAACATGACATTTACTGACAATGTATAAGGGACAGGATCAAAATACAGACATTCCTTACACATTATTCTTCATATATGATATTGGTAAAAGTAGGGATGCACAGATACCGGTTTTTCGGTATTGAGTACCGATATTTTTTTTCCGCTACTCGCCGATACCGGAAATCCCATTAAGGAAGCCAGGCGGCGTGTAATGATTCACCACCTGGCTTCCCGATTAGCCGGGAAGTTGGGAGGCGTGTAATGATTCGCCACCTGGCTTCCTGATTAGCTGGGAAGCCGTCTCCATGCTCCCTCATCACCAGGTGACGAGAAAGCATGGAGCCGGCTTTCGGGCCAATAAGGAAGCCGGGCGCAGTGTAATGACGCATTGCCTGGCTACCTGATTGGTCGAGAAGCTGGACAACGCGTCATTACATGGTGCCCGGCTTCCTGATTGGCCGGGAAGCCGGCTCCATGCTACTTCGTCACAAGTGATGAGGGAGCATGGAGTCGTCTTCCCAGCCAATCATGAAGCTTAAGTATCGGGCCAGGCATCGGAGCATTTGGGCGAGTACCTGTACTCGCCCAAATACTTGGCATCGGCACCGATACTAGTATCGGTGCATCCTTAGTTAAACGTAAATGTAGCCCCCATCACCTTTTGTGAGGTTGGCTACTAGAAATGTAGTGATTGCCAGGGCTGGATTATAGTGGACATTTATCTGGTTAATTCCAGGTGTCCTGGCATTGACTGTACCCACCTAGGTGGAGTGTGACTCTGCTGTTTTGTGGGACAGCCAATGAGAGGCACTGTGAGTCTATCTACAGTGCTGCAGCCAATCACTGGGTTTGAGGTGGCTGAGCTCAGGGAGAGGCAAACAGGAGGAGGCTGAGAAGATGGTTTAGCCCAGGAAAAGGCAAACCACAAGGTGGCTGAGATTGGGAAGAGGCAATCAGAATCTACCAGAAGGAGGCTAAGCTCAGGAAGAGGCAAACAGAATCTACCAGAAGGAGGCTAAGCTTAGGAAGAGGCAAATAGAATCTACCAGAAGGAGGCTGAGCTCAGGAAGAGGCAAATAGAATCTACCAGAAGGAGGCTGAGCTCAGGAAGAGGCAAACAGGCTACAGGAGGAGGCTGAGAAGATGGATTAGCCCAGGAAAAGGAAAACCAGAAGGTGGCTGAGATTGGGAAGAGGCAAACAGAACCTACCAGAAGGAGACTGAGCTCAGGGAGAGGCAAACTGAATCTACCAGAAGGAGGCTGAGCTCAGGGAGAGGCAAACTGAATCTACCAGTAGGAGGCTAAGCTCAGGGAGAGGCAAACCGAATCTACCAGAAGAAAACAGAAGTCTGGCCGGCCTAATCAGTTTCCTGCCCCTGTGACCTCCGTTAAGATAACTGTCTGGAAGATGGATGAATGTAATGCATTCACTGAAAAGTCATTTCTCAGTAAGACAACAAATATATTTCTGGACGGGGGAGGCATCATAAAGCGATTCACATGTTATTCATTTATGGAAAATGGGTATAATATAAAAGCCATTTGGAGGCAAAGCTTTCAGCTCAAAATACAGGTCCGGGATCTGCAACAGGTGTCCTTCATTGTAGCTAGTCCAGTTTTTCCATCTATGAGAATGAAGGTAACGTTATTGTTTTTGGGACCTGGCTGGAAACTGCTGAACTCTGCCAGGCCTTAGCAACATTCATTTCAGCCTAGATGTATGAAGCCGAAATAAATCCCCCATAAATCTTTGCTGCAGCACAGGCACCGACAAAGCCTCCTCTTGTGCTGGCCTTTTATTCAAGCAGGTGTGTTTCACCGGCCAAACCATTGTGTTCCAAAAAAATCATTTCAGCTTTGTCTGTTTAGACTGAAGTCATGCACGACTCTGTTATTCTAATGCTTGAATAGCAATCTGCTCTCTCCATGGGAAACATTATTACAGCACAATAAGATGTAGCATCTATGTTCCCAATTCATGATATAACACAATGGATATGTTTTGAATATACGGCAAGGCTTTGTCAGTTCATGCAAACACAGCGACTTTGTATTTATTAGAGGAAATTAAATCCATATAATGCTGAAGAAATCCTCACAGCAGGGATCCCCAAACCTTCTCAAATTATTAATATGATCAGCAAGCCACATAACTCATTTCTACAAATCTAATATTAAATAAGTAAATATAATGTTATAAATCATATAAATTCTTGGATTCATCCTTAGGGGGAACAAGGTTTACAGATGCCTTTAAAACAGCTTGACTGTTCAAAACTTCTCTTAAAGGAGTTGTAAAGTCCCAGCATATCTTATCCTGTTATAACATCAGCATTGTAATAGGAATACATACTGGAGTTGTTATTGATAATGCAATCAAAGCTTACATGAAAAAATCCCTTTTATGTAGTGAGTGCTGCCTTCCGTCTGCCCATCACTTTCACCAACTTCCTGGATTCCCAGGGTGCTTTGCCTCTCTTTCCCTGCTGCTTGATGTGGTGCGATCTCCATTTCGCAAAACTATATTTCCTATCATGCACTGCTTCATGCAAGGAATTATAATGTTACATTGTTCAGATGTTGAGTTGTAGTTCAGAAGGCAGGTTCTGTGAGTGTGGTGAGCGTGGTATATTCACAGGGCTGAGTGAAATTGTGTCTGCGCATAGAAAGTACATCCTATGGGCTTCTGGAATAAGTAAGTTTACAAACTTCTAGATCGATATGGTTATAAGTAGGGATGCAACGATAACGATACTAGTATCGGTATCGGCGCTGATACAGAGTATTTGGGTGAGTACTCGTAGTCTCCCAAATGCTCCGATACCTTCCCCGATACTGGAACTTCCGGTCAGAGGAAGATTTCCTCTGACTGGCAGTGCCGTAGGGCAGCGGTTCTCAAACTGTGGCGGGTGCAATAGCAAATTTGCTATTGCAAAGTGAAATAGCCAATAGGAATCTAGCTATGCATTCCTATGGTGTTTTTTTTTTTGACGGCGTACGCCAGTGGTTCTCAAGCTGTAGGTCGCTGTGTGATTTCTGCTGTGCTAGGTGAGAGTCCTCCTCAGCCCTCTCCTAGCGCAGCAGTGTCAGTTCTCCCGCCACGCCACCAGATGTTGCTGTAGCAGCCGCGTCATCCCTAAAATTTTAACCTTTGGGGGTCACCACAACTTGGCAAATGTTACCAAGGGGTCCCGGCCCTAGAAAGGTTGAGAACCACTGCCGTAGGGGAACATGGAGCCAATTTCCCGTGCAACCAGGAAGCCAGGCTGCGAGTAATGACTCGCCTCCCGGCTTCCTGATTGGCCGGCTACATGCTGATTGGCTGGAAAGTCCAACTTACGGCATGTTATTACACGCCACCTGGCTTCCTGATTGCCCGGGAAGCAGACTCCATGCCAGCGGAAGAACTGGTATTGGTACTCGGTATTGGCAAGTACCGAAAGCAAAATATCGGTACTCTTATTCGATACCGAAAAAAACGGTATCGGTTCAGCCCTAGTTATAAGGAGTGGGATAGAACGTATGGAAATTCAGTATAGAAATACAGATTTATTTTTCGTTTTGACCCTAGATTCCTTGTAACCCTTTTGCTGCCAATTATGTATGCCATATGTGGCTGGCAGTGGACTCCTTTAAACAGACTCCCAGAGGCTGTTTACATTTGTAAAGCCAATTGTTGGTCATTCCGTAGGATACAGCGTAGAGGTCGGTGTTGATGTGAGCAGTCATTGTGATCTGATTCCGTACCTCTCTGTGAGTGTCTTTAAATGTTTTAATAAAGCATTATTTGGATATACTACACTATATACTGTCCACAATTTTATTTGGTCCATTGGGGGTAGAATATACGCGGGGAGCTTGTGGTGATAGTCGGTCGCAGATCGGGGGAAGTGAACGTGGAGATCCTCTGGAGACAGCTGATGGGGATCGAGGTTGAAAAGATAAAGGCATAAAAGGAGGAAAGCTCACCACACGCGTATTTTTTGATTATATGATCAAGAAGTTCTGGTGAGTGCATTTGTATGTTGTCTCACACCGCAGGAGGAAAAAATGACTATTTCTATCACTTTGAACTTTGGGCACAATCTCTCGTTCTTTGGAACTGTGAAATGTGGATTATA